CCTTAGGAGCTGCACATGGTTTCGAATTGCTGGCCATATGGATCGCAGTCCAACTTGTCCAGTCCCCAAGTAGGTTGGCTTCCTTTCAGTCACCGACCAACGAGGCTCTGGGGGCTCGATGTCCATTTGCTGGCTTCCAGAGCACAGTTTTGGTCCGCTGGGAGGAGAAAGGCGTGGTGTCCAGAGGAATCGCTCCTTACTCGGTCTGTGTGATCCACCGAACCATCTGGCGCCTTTGAGACCATCGTCGTGTGGGTAGGGATGTGCCTAAGAAGGAGGCCATTCCCCTGGATTCGGATTCACCTCTTTGCATTTGGGACAGGAGGCCTGAGGAGCACACTTGCAAATGTGTGTGGCAAGGCGAGTTTTTCTCGGCTTTGCCTTTGCTGTGTCAGACCCAGCCAACTTGAAGCAGCGACCCCGTGTGGATAAAACAGGGTGGCGGGTGGGGCTGTGGGGTGGGGTGGGAGCGTTGTGGAAATGGAGAGGGCCTCGTCTTTGAGCCGCCACTTTCCTTCTGTTGCGCTCAGTCTCTTGTACCCGTCGTTCCGAGGAAGGACCTGTGATCCACTCTCCCTCCCAGCCAGTCTACGCCAAGCCCGCTCGGCAGCCCTCTCTGGGGAAGCTGAGCCCTGCGTCGACTGGAGAGCATGGTCGGTACAGTGGTCCTTGGCTAGCATCGAGGTGACCTCTCACTCCTGGCAACCCATCACAGTGGGAAGCCACAAAGGTTTTTGCTGGCTGATTTTCAAGGTAGGTTACTTGGCCTTTCTTCCTCATCCATCCCAATCTGAAAATGATGGGAGACCTGTTGATCATCGCCACAGCACCCCAAGGTGGTGAATATAGGTGAGCCTGACTATCTGTGAAGAGAAACCAATCTCCTAAAGGAACCAGAAGATATTTAGCATCACAGCGAATCCTAATCCAGACCCTGTGGCCCTGTGGAAATGAACCCAGAGTGACTTCTGAATTCTTAGTGAAACCATTGCTAATAGTCCGTGATATTTTCACGTGGTTCTGTTTCTCTGAAAATGGGAAGAGTTCATCGGTGTTCTGTGAGGGGTACTGATGGGGAACCTGCTCTGATCCCCAAACCTTCAAAGGTTTCACTTTCAGCATCTATCAAATCAAGGCGGGTGCTGAGATCATCTCTGATCCTCTTCCACCGCAGACAATCCAGCTGTTCGCCTATCTCTAGGAACCAGAATATTAAACAGAATTTTCCATTCCCCAACTATGCCAGATAGATGAGAGAAGGTACTGTATGAACTGAAAGCCTCCAGCCAATCAGAAAAGCCTCCCCACATCCCAGCCTGCCTTATGCTTGTTGATGTCAGAACAAGAATTATTGTGGGTAATCAGAGAAGGCAGTACAAAAGAACAGCTCGTACCTGGCAGAATTTGTATATCAGTGTGTTATGATTTGCCAAAGCATTCCTGAAAGTTAAATCTTCCATTACATAACTTTCATCACTTTCTTAAGAAATGTTCCAGCTGGGTCGGCACGTTTATGATTCGCGTGCTTGAGAGATAAGCACATTGTCCAAGATGAGACTAAAATTCCCAGGTATTTTTCAGTGTCAACGATTGAGGTTAAAGGGAGAAATGCCAAAGGAGAAGGTTGAGAAAAAGTGTTATTGAAAATATTTGGAACCTAATCTGGTATGTGAATTTCAAGGAGTCCCTGAGGGGTGCCCAGGGTTGGCATTTTGAACCTATCCTGAATGCCCTAAGAAGACTGGCCTGCCAAGCGGTATGCTTCCAGGGGGTCACAGCTGGGAAAGCACGAGGGGTTTCTTCTCTTCTAGACACACAGATTCGCCAGGAGTTGGCATTGACTCGCCAGAAACTCACAACACAATGACAGGTGTTTTCATAAACCTTACATGATTGAAACAGGGAGCTCTCCATGAATAAAGGTATCTGCTTGGAAACCAAAGGAGCAAGTGGGGATCCAAACTGGAGTTTTGCAACACAGCCGGGAACCTCCAATCAGTTCTTTCTGCTCATTGGCAGCCAGCGCTGCTGCCTCTGTGCGGTAGAACATCCCTGCAGACTAGACACGGAAAGCATTTACTTTTGGCTCTGTTCAGGAATAAGCCCTACAGCCTGTATTTTGTTATAAAATAATTACTTTTGCTCCTCCAATGGCTTGTGGAGTCTGATTGATGACAACCTAATTTAAAGTCCTCCTCCAACAATCACAATAAAAAAATAAATACTCAGGGCAATTTAATTCATGATCTTCAGCTAGAATTTAGGCAGAGGTATGATTATTAACCTTCGACTCGCCTCTGAGGAAGATTGCAAATGTGCTGCTATGCGGGAACTTAACTTCCCCACATCGACAAGAGGACGTGGTTATATTTACAACACTCATTTGGGGTTTTTGCCTCTACATGTACTTTCACTTGACTAATGAACATATAATTTGGGGGCCATTATGAAAGCAAGCTCTTATTAGCAGGGAGAATAAAAGAGATGATTTTGTAAGGAAGAATTCAGATTCTGAGCAGGGGAAGCTTTTCTGACACCAATGTGACTCATACACACAAACAAACACAATTTGTTGAACTTTTTAAAGGTTATCTTAGCAGAGAATTATTTTTGTGTTCTTAGGGGGAAACATGGATTCAGTTCAGTTAGGCCTCTTTCTATGATAGTACTTACAGCGATATTATAGCATTGTCCTCCAGGGGGCGTCAAGTCTTCAGCATAGCTCTTGTTCACTGGATGGCATTCATTCAGGTTCAGTTAGCAAAAGCAGACAGTCTGGATTCCTTCTTGCTGAGGTTCATGGATTCTAGGATCCAAATCAAGGTTCTCAACGAAGTCGTACATATATTTGTAAGACGAGGCTGAATGAGAGAGGTCCATGGTCCTGAGGATGCTCAGGAATCTTGTCTAGTCACCCACCTCTCTGAATGCTCTGCTATGGGTCTTGGATTGGCTGGGTCTCCCTGGACCTTCCAATAGCCCTTTAAGGAGACTGTTGCTAGCAGTAGGCCCTATGACCTTTCCAGGGTAAACATGTCATCCCTGGAGGCCCCAAGATAACCCTCTTTCCTACTGAAGCCTCACAATGGGTTATCTCTGTTTGTTTTTCATGAATCTGTCGCACAGGAAAGGGAGGAAGATGAGGCCGCTGTAAAATTTTGCAATCCTAGAAAACCGAAGGAGTAGAACCACTCCTGCTTAGGGGATCGCTGTGAGTTGGAATTGACTTGGCAGCAGTGGGTCACATCCAAATACACAACTAAAACCAACTCACTGCCATAGAAGCAATTACAACTTGTATCAACCGTATAGGACAGAGCCCATGGGCCCGATGGTAAGTCAAAGGCTTACGTGTTCTCCCATGGTGGGTCACACAGGCATCTCCAAGCCTACCAGAAGAACCAGCGACTGCATGTAATAAAGCTTATAATTTCCCCAAGGCATAGTGGTGGCAATAACTGCTTTTTATTTCTCGTGCATTCTAGGATCCTGAATTCACTATTTACACTTCTGAATCCTTGACAACTTGCCCATAAAACGTTATCTCCTAGGGTGGTTATAAGGATTGATTCAAACAGGTCAAAGAAAGTACTTGGTGCACAGCAAACAATCGATAAGCTCTATCAATTTCTATTGTGCCTCAGCCTGGAATTGAATGATCCACCATCTATCTCGAGCCTGCCTCTTCACTTCTCCCCGACATATATTCCACCCCCAAAGCCACCCTACACCTTTACCCCTTTGCTCCCGTGCCTTCAATTCCCACGTTTTCCCCTCGTGAGATCCCACCCCAGGTTCCGTGATCGGCTCTCATAACATCTCAGGCTGAAAACAGAAAGCACAATTCCCCCCTCCAAACATGGGCACCCTAATTTGATTGTCGTGGCACTCACATAGGTGGATACATTTTTCAAAATTCATAGACCTGCACACTTCAAATGAGTGCTTCTTATCAAGCATACAGCTTCTGCCCCCATAAACCAATCTAGTTGCAGTGTCGTGAGCAAACCTCTCTTTGTAGATAGGAAGATCTAGTTCAAACACTTGCTCTGCTGCATTCTGCCTGACTAGCCCTTGAACCTCTTTCAGTCTCAGTTTCCTCCTAGGCAAATGGGATGGTTGTCACTAGTGGTTGTTAGCTGCCATCCAGTCACCAGCCTCCTGGCCACCCCATGTACAGTGGATGAAATGCTACCCTGTGCCCATGCTCAGGTGTGGATCAGGCAGTTGTTATCCAAAAGTTTTGCATTTTAGGAAGCAGATCACCAGGCTTTGCTTCCTACTCCATTTTAGTCTGGACACTCCACTAAAAACCTGTTCAACAGCCTAGCAACACTCAAGCATCCATTGACAGACAGGTCTATGAGGTGCCTCAACTGGGAATCGGAATGCACATCTCCTATGTGGCAGGCCAGGATCTTCCCCGTGAGCCGTTATTGAATCATATAATCAGAGTTACAAAATGCTTCACTCAGTGCTTGGTACCCAGGTGATGCTGCCTGGTAATTAGGGCCTTCCTCTCTGTCATAGCTACTTTTGTCTTTGCCACCCTGATTTTCTGTATTGGTCAGACTCTTTCACGCTCCAGACGACTGGACTGTCATGATGAAGACAGGCTATGGGCTTTGCCTTTGTATTTTCCATTGTGCCCAGTAAAGACACAATAAATGTTTACTCTTAATAACTAAACACAACTTTTCTTTAAAAGCAAAATCCCAAAGTGTTCCAACTTACAATCTCTGCAGGTTGCCAGCTTGTGGCAGTCATTAGCCTCTGTGCTTGCCGAGGCTCAGTATTTTAAAGTCAGAGAGATACTTTACGTGGTCAATGATTCAGTTATAGCTCCTCAGTGTACAGTAGGGCTTAGTAGCACATCTTTCATTATGATCATTTGCTAGGTACACAAGACTCATGTCTCTGTTTAATTTCTCCCCCTTTTGTAACACAAGTGAAACAACTGTACTGTTTTCTTAACCAATAAATCACTCTGTTTTCCATGGTTCAAAGTTAAGGATTTATTTGGTTTTAAATTAAAAAAATAAATTTCATTATTAAATAGTAGATGGGACTAACTAATGTCCAGATTACTCAAGAACATACCACCAGGGGTACAATTAAAGGGGCGGATCACCTAAACTAAAATCATTTGTTATGATGGAGTGTTTGTTCAAGTTCAACAGTGGCAAAATTCCAAAGGGAACTGAAATACAAAGTTTTCAATGTTTACAATGGATGGGAAGTAAACCACTTATTCTACGGCAATCACAAACTACTCTCTTTATCAGTGCCAGGCTGATTGGACACTATACCACAGTGCTAATGTCGTCAGGTTCGTCTGCTTTCTTTTGCCTGCTCGGCAGGGATTTCAAGTATTCAAGGTGTCTGCGGGCATCCTCCTGATTTTGCCTGACATAATATACCACATACGAGATCACCATGGTGAACCAGCCAAACATGGTGACCAACATGGCATAGTCAGTCGTTTTTTTGGGGAGGTTACAAAGGTCAGCATCATTGGCAGCATTGAGGAATGGCCTCCCGGCGTGCTCATCCAACACAGAAGTCTTGCAGATGACGTTGTGGGCTGTCTCATGGTTGGACGCCATGCTCCTCAGAACCTGCTGTAGCGTACAGTCACAGTGCCAGGGGTTGTTGGCGATTCTGGCCCTGGCCTTCAGGTTATTGAAGGCATTTTTATGCACGCTTTGAATCCGGTTGTCGGACAAGTCCAGCGTCTGCAAGGTTTCAGCTACGCCCTTGAAGGCATGCTCGTCAATAAACTCAATGCCGTTTTTGGACAGGTTGAGGACTCTCAGTTGATGGAGGTCTTTAAAAATCTCATTGGGGATAGACGTGATCTGATTGGAGTCCAGATACAGTAAGACTGTTTCGGGAGGGAGATCTCTAGGTATTTCCTTGAGATTTGCATTGCTACAGGTGACATTGAGACCCCCAGAGGAAGAACAGAGACAGCCCTTGGGACACATACTGGCAGAATGAAAGCACAGTATCAAGAGGACAAAACTTTGTAGGAGGAGACACATGGAGAGGGAGCGAGTTAACCACAGGTCTACCAGATTCATGCTGGATCGTCAGCATAATCACAAGCCCATTCCTCATTGGCTCCACCAAGCGTAGCAATGGTCCCAGCCGGTCCGCACTGTTGATCTCTCGCTCTTGTGGCTCAAAAGGTTGCAGCTAAGGCACGGGCCTCTTCATGACTCCTGCCCTTGCTTGGGTACCTAAAAAAAAGGGAAGCAGGTGCCATTAGCTCTTTTACAAGGGAAGATACATAGCAATTAAAAGTGCTCTCAGGCGTCTAGCATTCTGTGCAGGCAGGAGCGTTGGTTAGGCAGAAATTACCTCCTTAATTTCCATTGACACCACTGGGAGTTACATGTGTAAGGGGAGGCTCCAGATCAAATCCCAAGTGCTGATGGAGCAGACTTTCAATACATGACAATCTTTCCGAGTGACGCCGCCTTGTTTCTAGTTGTCCAGCATGAGAGCAAGCAACCCAGATGTCTCCTCCCTATCGTTCCTCTCCACATCCCGAACCCCTTCTCAATTCTCTAGCATTAAAATTCAATTGCATCTTTCTACACTTCCTATACTAAACAGATGCATCAACGCAATGTTGTCTTGTACGTGGGCAGCACTGACAGATAATACTGATATTTCATGGTTCATGACCATAGACAGGACTGTCATGTCTTTAAATTGGATGCTCAATTCAGAGTATTTCCTCTAATGAGACATCTTACTCAATTTACGAAATGGAGGAACACACTCTAACTTTCAGGGCAAAAGGTGGCTTGGGGTTGACAGCCCAGACTCCCCAAGACAGGTGCCTTCTCTATGACTTCCTGAGATTGTATTATACTTGAATGGATCCCGTGAACCAAATTTCCCAAGAATTATGTGTTCTCTAAGCAACATAACCCTACCCACAATGGATTTTCAAATATTATGCCCATTTACAAGTGTTTTTTAGAAAAGGGAATAAGTAAGATGTACTACTTGGGACATGCACTTTGGACATCTTATCAGTAAAGATCAGTCCTTGGACAAGGACATCATGCTTGATAAAATTGAGAGCCACTTAAAAAGAGGAAGACCCTAGATAAAACGGATGGACTCATCCAGTGGCCGTAACAACGAGCACAAACAGAAGAGCCATCGTGAGGCTGGTGCAGGACCGGCCGTGGTTCATTCTGTTGTACACAGGGTTGCTATGAGCAGACTGACCCAGCAGCACCTAGCCGCCACTACCACAACCAGCCTCTACAACTTCATGTTTTTCTTCCTAATTCTGAAGGAATAAAAATATATATATACATCAACACACACTCTCATTTTGGAAAGCGACCTCAGCAACTGCAAAAACGAGGTAAAATGTACAAGAGTAGAAGCAAGATGACAGATATATCCCTGAACTACCCCTAATGTAATGAGACCAGGCATTGGGGGGACAAGGATACAGAGGAGCAAAATGGGTCCTGGAGGGCTTATATGGACTTGTCCAAGGTCAAACAGCTTGCAGGTGGTAGAGACAGGACTCAGGCCAATGTCTTTAATCTGACTCATTAGTCTCCCAACTCTTTTCAACCACCCCCACCACTCTCTCCCAATCCTATCTGCTTTATGAGGACAGTCCAGATCTGGCAGCTCTGCTTGGCACTTTTGACACTATTGAGGTGCTGCCCAATCCTTTGTGCGATGGATCTTGATCCAAGTTAGGGGACCCCGGAGCATGGAATGAGGAGGCATCTGCCTAGTGGGGTGAAGTAGCTGACATCAAATCTGAGATCTGAGAAGCAAAGCAAGAATGCACTCCTCTGAAAGGAGTGAGCAACAAATGGCTTTTTGCAAACTTTTGCTTGTCTAGAGATCCCAGATGGACAACTATGGAGGAAATGACTCCAAATGTTACCAAAGGCATACAAGAGAAGATGAATGTGAGCTGAAATCATAATGAGCTGGGTTGTTAATCATGGCAAAAATGAGATTAGCAACCGCAGAACGGAGTGGATGTGCTTTTGGAATCTGAGTCCCTTAAATGCCAAGGAATTCTCACAAAGGACCCCGAGGCTTACTGAGCCATCCATCAACGGTTCATTGCATTTGCAGAAATCATTTCCTCGTCTCCCATGTTTTCCTTTGAAACCATATTGCATGGGATTTGGGGACTCTAGAGATGGTCTAGGAGGGAGAGAGGAAAAGTACACCAAAGTTTGGGGAAGGGCATATTCAGCGAAGAAATGAACGGAAGGTCATGGCCAAGGATATTAGAAGTATGCAACGAGAAGACACAGCATAGGGGAGAGATCAATGTGAACAACATCAAAAGTTAGGGAGCCTCTGTCGCCCAGCGACTTTCACCCATCAGATGTGGGCAACGAGCCCTTCCCCCAGAGGCTGTGCATGTGTCACATGAGGTTGATTAAAAGAATCTAGCTTAAGGAATATTTTCTCTTTTAGATGATAAGCTCCAAGAGGGCAAGGCCTTGTTCTACCTCAGGTAGAAATAGCCATAAACAAGAAAAAGCACTCTGGGTTTGCATCTTTACTTTTAGCCGCACTAGCAATATGCATGTTTTGCAATCTTTGAAAACCACATAATCTTTGTGTAGAGATTATAGAAGTATCTAATTACAAGGTTGGGTTTTTTGAGGATTATGTGAGATAATCCACTTAAAACACTTGACACCGTGCCAAGTTGGTGGGTCAGGGCTCAAGACATGTTCTGGGGACAGGAATGATCTGTCATCCATGTGAGAAAAATGAATTTGATTCCCATAAAATGCACCTCAGCATTTTCACCACTCATCTCTGAATGGGTATGCATGTGTGTGGCCTTGATGCGGAACAGATTTCAACAGAGATTCTACAAGGCTTGGTGATCTACTTCTGAAAGGTCAGCCAAGGATTTTGAAAATTCACAATAGCCTCATCGTATTGTCAGGAGCTGGCAGGATAACACCCAACAACATCAACAACAATAGCTATTATTATTATTCCCAGAGGGGTTCCCTCACTTTGCCTGGCATTCAACACAAAGTAAGGGCTAAATAACTATAGATTGCCTGAATGAATAAGTGAAGTATTGAAGAATCGAAGAGCCCAACATGGTGAATATTTTATTATTAACATAGGGATTCGCTTCTCAAAATTCTGTTGGTCTTATATATCAACATGGTGGCCTTTAAAGTTTTGAGCGGAAGGAAGAGTGGAATTCCCTCCCAGTAGATGCTTGTGGATTTATTCAGGGTGAATTAAAAATGGCCATAGATTAGAAAATGAAAGGATTCAGACGCATCTCATACCTCAAAAGGTTTACTCATAGGCTGGATGCAATACCTATTTGGAGTGCAAACACAGAACCTATCAACCACCCATTTAAGCAGGCTTTCCTCGTGTTTTATTTCATGTTCTCTCCATAATGGTTGGGGTAAAAGAGGCATGGAGGCTTCTGAGATTGGCTAGGGTGCCAGGCCATTGTGATTCAGCCTTCAGAGCTTCCATTCTCAGGCATGATCAAGTGGCAGTGGCTCTACGATCAGAAGAGCTGAGCCTTTTGACATCCCAAAGGCAAGTGGCAAAGTCAAATAAGTCGAATCAAGGTCATTTTCACGTGAGAGGAAGCCTCTCCCAAACTGCAGACTGCCATTTTCAAAGAATAGCCTCAATCCTTGACAGAGACTACGCTAGACCTTTGTGCACGGCTCCCGTCTTATCAGCTCCTCTGGATTATTGATCTATTAATATTGTAATAATAATACAAACTTGTTAAAATTTATACATTCAAAAGATTTCCTAGAATCCTATCATCCACCAAATAAAATACTTTATTCTTCCCATTCTCATAAAAGTGTAGTTGTGCACACATTAGAAATGGTCATCTCAGCACAGGCAAGAATTTTGTGTTGCCATCCTTTCTAACTTATAAATAGTTATGACCTTCAACATTTTAATAAAATGATAAAGTGTAATATTTAGACATATGTAAAACCATTTGTGTTTTTAGCTCTCTCCTGTCTCTGTTCTTCTGAAGCGTGTGGAATTGAAATGTAGGTTTCAGCCGATCCTTCCTTTCTCTTGGAGTATTTCCTTACGTTATTCCCAGAGGAGGCATGACTTGCGTCAAAAGAGTCTCAACTTCTCATCTGATTTTGTTTAATGATCTATATCATTGGAAGGGCTATTTCATAACTTAATGGGCAATATCTTAAAAATGAGAAACCGTTGGCTAGAACTGTGCAACGTCTATAGAATCCGAGTCCACAGCATGAAACGCCAACCAGGCAAAGTTGTCCCACAGGGAAGGTAGCGGCTTCCCAAGGCCTGGATGCCTCCCCTGGTTTCCATCACTGAGGGTCTTGGTCCTGAAGACCTCTGATGGGACCCTCGGCTCATTCTTTTCACTGCTTGATTATAGTGAAGAAAGCCAGAAAACCAGAGAGACAGGGTGCGGCTTTTTTTTTAGGAAAAAAAATCACATTTTAAAAGACTATATTCACAACTCCTGCAACTTATTATTGGAAATCTTTGCTATTATTCCCAAAAGGAGTGACTGGGTAAAAATAAATGTCACTTCTATGTGTGTGTTTCTTTCATTACACACAACAATGCAAAGGTCTGTAGAGCAGACTCATATAGAAGGAAAGGAGGGTGAAGAGAAAGGAGGAAAAGTTAAGGAGGGAGGAGGAGTGTGAGCAGAGGAAGGAGAAAAGGGATATCTTTTTAAAAGTGCTAGTATTTACCTCGATATTCTTCACCAAGAGACTGACTCAATATCGCCCCAAATGAAGCAATATACTTGACCGGATTTTTTTTTTAATCTAATACTATAATAACGAAGATCAAAGAAGAATTGATGCATTTGGATCATGGTGCTGGAGATGAATTTTGACAGTCCCCATGGATTGCTAAAAGAGAAAACTGATTTGTCTTGGAAGAAGTACAGCCAGTATGCTCCTTAGAGGCAAGGATGTGAGACTTTGTCTTGCATACTTTGGACATGTTGTCAGGAGAGAGCAGTCCTGGAGAAGGGCCGGGTGCTTGGTAAAGTAGAGGGCCAGCAAAGGTAAAGTCAACCCTCAGGAGATGGATTGACACGGTGGCTGTAACAATGGGCTCAAGCATAGGAACAATGGTGAGGTTGGTGTAGGACTGGGTAGTATTTCGTTCTGTTGTGCATAGGGTTGCTATGGGTCTGAACTGACTAGCTGGCATCTAATAA